GTTGGATAGTGCGGTGAACTATGACAATGGATTCAGGTACATTCAAGTCCAACTAAGGATGGGGTCACCCTTCTCGAATGGCTGAGTTTTCTCTTCAGAGACTGGAATAAAAAGTGCATTGTCAAGCCAAAGACCAACATAGCTGCTTGGTCTCACTATAGCAATTTCTGGGAATGCATTAATGCCTCCTGAGGCTACATGAGAAGCATTGTCAATGCAAAACCCAAGAGTATAAATGAAGAACAAATGCATTATTCATATAACCTCCCAATAATGATCCAAAATCTAACTAGCACAATTGTATTTTTCAAACGTCCGTATCGTTTCATCCCAGTAAAAACGTAAAGATTATTTTTTTATATAAAGTGCCACATTTTGAATAAAGATGGATTGGCCCTCAAAGGTCGGTAGGAACCCTGTAAACAAATTCTAAAAATGTAATATTTTTTAAACGATTGCATTGTATTTTATTACTTCTCGCTCCATTGCAGGTCACTGAATTATTTAAAATCTGTTTTCTATTCTTATCAAAAGGAGTGCTGGAATTTGCCGACAGTGTGAGGTTATTGAATCTAAGAACAAGTTAAACTACTCTCTCTATCTGTGAGTTACCTGGAATTAGTTTGTGTTTGCTCAGGTGTCAACTGATAACTGTCCTTTTACTGCCTCGGGCATCGTGATTTATAATTTACAGTTTCCACGAATAACTTTCCAACCTATTACCTTCCCTGGACCTCGCTGTACTTCGTATGCAAAGGTTTATTCAGAAATATTGATGCAGTGCAACTTCGAATGCATATATAACCTGCACAAGGCATCACTCATGTTTAGTGCTGTCTGATCACGTGACACCCTTTCAAATCTGACTGCACCGTTTAGAACAACCTATATGTCGGTACAAAGGCAAAACGTCATGTACAACAACAAATTAAATCAAAATTAGTTCCGAGAGCTTCCCTGATCATTTACTGTGTAAAAGGCACAACCCATTGTAGTATTAAGCTATACCATCAGAAGGTTGTAGGTTCAATTCCGTGTCCATCCTGTATTAACGCATCAGGGTCAACTAAGTAGAAAATTAATCATATTTTTAATGTTAACACTGCAAACGCAGGCTCTCTCATGGTTTTCTCCCACTGTATCTCTACCTAAAAGACACACATGGAATTTTAAATGAGTTCTCCAATCATTTAGCTGTATAAACACCTTCCAAAGCAGCTACAGCGATTTGCCAGCATTTCCAGATCATGTTACTTGAAGGAAATGTTTCCTTTTAATAGAACATCCATAATCCTGACTCCAATGATTATAATCCCTCCTCTTGTAAAAATGATTGAGGTAATTACATTACTTTGTTCCTTCTCCCCATAATGACAATGCCCGTCCCCCCCCACCCCACCTTATAAATGGCAGCTAAATATTTTCCCGCATTTCAGACCTTACACGTTTTCCTTTTTAACTAAATTATTCATACTCCTGAAGAAATATTCTTGGATAATTCATCCTAAATGAAGCAAGCCAAAATAAAACAACGAAAATATTTAACAGTAGAAACAGCCCATCTAAACTTTCTGGCAATAGAGCACATTCTTTGTAATACAAGATTTATTCCAAAATATTTATATATTTAGAGCCTTGGACTCCAATTACAGACCACGCAGAACCTACGATTTGATTTACTGACACTCAATATGGTGAACATGGAGCCAAGCCAGATCCTTTACGAGCTTCTGCCCTTAAACCCGAGTATTTTCCCCAGGATATTATACGTGTTCCAAGCATTCCCAAATGAAATAGCGAGGACTAAATGGTACTCCAATATGCCTCCGGTCATCTTACTTTGTGCTCTATAATTCAAGGCACTATGCGTCAACACACATTGTATTGTATAATGTTTTGCCTCAATGTCCTTTGAAGCACTTTGTCTAAATACAGATTTAATGGCATTGTCGCAATCATGATTCTATCCACATAAAAATGATCTGAAGCAATTGGTCGAGTCCTGGTTCCGCCAATTCCCCCAAAGCTAATCTTCAGAGGTTACACTACCTCTAGAAAAGTCAGAGAACATAGTTTTGACTTGTGGTGCTATCATATTCACATTTAGGCAGAATATACCTGAAAGGGAAGACTAAAGTGAGCCAGGTTTGAGAGTTTGTGAATCAATGTGAAATGGCTCAGTTCGGATTTCCAGTTCAGTTTACCAATCATGAACTTGGATCATTTTTATTAAGATCCTGGAATAAAAGCTCAGATATTACTGTACATGGATCATGTTAAATGGAGCCACTCAGTTGCAGGAGATAAAATTTTGAACCGTGCGATGTGAATTGCATGACACTCAACATGCTCTGAAACTGACAGCAGTTTCCCATGAACCGGACCCTATAAGTCATGTTCCTTGGGGGGGGGTTAAAGCTGTAATGATGTTGCAAGCCTGTCCCTGAAGCCTAGGAGTGCAATGCTAAGAAAAATCTGTTTCAACAGAAATTGAAAACATGAAAATAATCCTTGCATTTGTTATAGCCCCTTTCACATTGGGAGGATGTCTCATTGTTTCACTGGATTTGCCATGTAGGGTAGTGACTGTATTTTGTGGGTGAAGAGCAAAATTTATTCTCTGCAGGAAGAGAATTCTTTAAAAAAAAAGAGAAACGATGCCACCAAATTTTGTTGGATTGAATGTTCCTACTCTTAAAATAATTGATAATAAATTAATAATTAATTCAATAATTTAAATAATCCATTTTAAAATTGATCTGATTTGATTTTAACCTCCTCAACTAATCTTTTATAGCCCAGCAGATAACATGCATGTTATATTATTATATTATGTTATACCTGGTTTGAATAAGGCTGCCACACATTGGCTGGACTTCCTTTGATCTTTCAGTTAATCTTCTTCATCCCCATTTTTATTTGCATTTAATTTTCTTTGATTTGGAACCGTGAATCCATCAAATGCGTCAACATTTTTAAATCAGTTACGTGGAACAAGTATTGTCTACCATGTGCTTGACAGTGATGCATTTACAATACAAATGGAATACACAAGCTTTAAAGACTTGTTGGGCAAAATCTTGACATCTCAGATAGTTCAGTCAGATGAGCACTGCGCTTGTACTTCAATACAATTAACACAGTAGCTAACACCCTTACAAGTACAACGTTAAGACATACATAATACACAAGAGTGCAAAGCTATGGCGGTAAATCTCTTACACAAACATTTTGAATACTATTATTATGAGAAACATGCTTTAGTCACAATTTAGGTCTTTTCCAGGTCTGGAAAGTAAATCAGCTCTGTTGTCCTACTTTGCCAAGTTTAACCCAAATATAGATTAAGTGTTTAATGATCATAATAATATTAATCCCTGCATTTGATATAGAGCCTTATCGCATCATTGAGACGTCTCCAAGCGCTTCACAGAATATATTGTGAAGTGGATTGGCTGCGTATTTTGTTGACAAAAATCATTTCCGTGCTGATGGAAATCTCTTGCAAAGTAAATTAAATTTGCCTGAAACATTTTTCTTTTAACTCTGTGGAATTGGAAAGACAGATTATTTTCCATGCGTCCTAACATCCTCAGAAACAGGTCCTGCTCATAATTCTATTTTCTCTGGCCATAAATTCTTGGTCACATTGCATTTTAACATCGGCAATATTTGGGCAAGACTATATGCAATTTTTCAGTCAGACAGGATTGTACCCAGGGGTTGTTTCTGGTCATATTTGATGTAAAGATGATCTCAAAGGAATTCTCAGAGTGCTTTTTCTCCCTGATGTTCTGTACAACAGTCACCTTCATTAGTATTGATTTGTTGATACTGGACTGAAGTGAACAAATTTAACTCCTTGTGATCCAGTGAATCCAAAACCGTAAAAAGATTTACACTCAGAATATACTAAGTGGAAAATGGTACACTTCCAAATATTTCCCATGACACAAGTTCATTTGAAACGAGTTTTAATGACACAAAATTGACCCTGTAACAACTTTTCATTGGAATGAAATCTATAAGTGAATATCCTATTTTTAAACCCCGCCACCCACTCAAGCGGTACATTTCTGTGCTGAATTCTCAGAATGAAAACAATGCCGTGTGTAAATGGTTTAAAATAAATTTAGATTAAATGCCAATTCAAATCCAGTCCACACTGGTAAGTTGAAAGTCACCTCTCTCAGTTTACTGTTCTTTCCCTACATGAAATGAAATTAGAAGGGAATAATAATGCTTGAATTTGATATAGCACTTTTACATCAGGGGGGTCGTTGGAAAGGGGATTCACAGGATTTATAGTAAAGTGTAATGATTGTGTATTTTGTAGGCAAATGTGGCAGCCAATTTGCACAGAGTAACGTGTCATAAATAACTGTAAAGTGAATGACCAATTTTACCTGGGGATTATTGGCCAGGACAATAGAAGAAACTCCCTTCTCTTTTCAAATAGTGCCAAAAGATGAACATCCACCTGAAAAGGCACAGAGGACTTTGATTTAATGTCTCATCCAAAGGACAGCAACTCCCAACAATGTAGTGCAACCGAACACTGATTGGATTGTTAACCCAACATAATATCGGAGTATAGTCTCAACATGGCTCATGGAAGGAGGAGGGGGATTATGAGGGATGGAAGCTCATATGGAGTATAAGCACCAGCACGGACTGCTTGGGCCAAACAGCCTGTTTGTATGCTGTAACAGTCTGTGATTCTATGAAGGCAGTTTCAGCTCAGTTCGTGGGCACTGGGCCACAAACCAAACTTATCCAGTTTGGTAACACTGTAAACATGAACTTTACAAATTATGTTTAGTTCAGCTAAGAATTCAATTAAATATAAAGCAACTGCTCAAACAAAGATAAGCAGTATACTTAAGGGATGGAACAAAGGTAAATTCATATACTACTGCCACCTACAGCACAGAAAGAACCTTTGCAATTCTTGAGCAGTCCCTGAAATTCTTCCAGAAATTACAGAACAAAAGTCTAACTTGTGGTATTCACAAACTATTTATTTAGCTAATTGAGACTTCCGATTTTACAGCAAGATTAGAAGTCTCATTTCTCAAGGATTTGGCAGGATCATACAACCTTATCTGCAGTGTTGTCTACAGTCCAGAATTACATTTTTCAATACCTATAACAGAAATTCTTAAAGCAAAATTATTTAAAATCCTTTTCCATCAAAGATGCTATATTTAATTTTGACCAATCAAATTAATCAAATTTATGAGCTGGTGTTTCGGTCTAAAACAATCATTTGGAAGAATACAAAACAGCCGGTGAAAAACTTAAAATTGTTTTATTCAAAGCACAAACATGATCTAATATGGTTACGGATTAGGCATGTTATCTGTGTTTCTTTCAAACACAGATTAGTTTTCTTTTAGGAAATAACATTATGGGATATAGTACATAGGTAGTTTGGGACGTATGTGCACACAACCGCCTGGAAGGCATGCAAACTAGATGGACCTCGGTCTTTTATCGTTCAGCAGTTATTGCTTTCACTCCTGTGTTATACACTTTTCTGCATTCTACTGTATGAAGCATGCTGCATTAGTATCCATGGGTGCTGAGAAAGAGTTTTTTAAAAAATCATAGCTTAGAACCTTACCTACAGTGAAACAACCTCAGCGACCATCGTTTCAATTGAGGAAAAAAAAACACATTAAACTTGATCCTTTTTAAGATAAAAGAAATGTTTTACAGATGAGGCTTTGAAAAGTTGAAGTTTCAAATGGTCATCAGAACGAATCCACAAATTTATTTCAGAAACTGCAAAAGAGAAACTTATTGAAAAAGTAAGGCACTAGTAGAATTTTTTATTTAAGTTTCCACTAATTTCAAGTCAAAGTATATATTTCAAATGTCAAGCACACCCTCACTGGTTAAATCACATCTCAGCATACTTCTATTAAATATTAAACTAAGTTTGTGATACTTTGAATGTCTCTAAAGAACAGGCTTTATTCATTCAAATCTGGCTATCAGTATTCAATTACAACCAGTATACAATTACAACCAAAAGTAAATTAATGATATTCTGTTAGCCAACGTTCAATTCAAAAGGTGTTTTCACTCAATCATATCAGCTCCTTCAGCACCTGTGGCATCAACAGAAATGCAAAGATCTTCCAGCATGTCTGTTAAGGTGATACAAGGAGCGCAGTCATCATCAGTATCACTTTCTACTGGGACTTTTGAGGAATCTAAAGGGAAAGAGAAAATATTACTACATTTAAAGATGCATTGAAGAGACAGTTGAAGTACATATTTATTAAGATATAATGTTTTTTAAATTTAAAAAAATTTCAAAGCTGAACCCTTCTGAAAGAACTTTGATGCCATCTAGAGGGGAATTCTTAGTATAACCTGCACACATTCCCTTTCATTCAGACCCCAAACCACCAACATGATGCTTACCACGATAGATATTAACATTCTTCCTAATTATGTCATCCTCCTCAAGGTCCTCAAGGAATTCCAAGTATTGTCTGGGAAGTAAGATAATAGTATGAGGACATTGATTATTGATTATACAATCAACTAAATCATTTCAAATTGTATTTTCCTGTATTTTATTATATTAGACTTAAACAATTCAGAAATCTAGACACAGTCACTATTTCTGTTGACCCTAATTTAAGACAAATGAGGAATACAACGCATTAAATGCAAAACAGTTCATACTGTGCAATTAACACTTCATTTATACTCAACAAGTCTAGAACCCACAGTTCCTGAGACTATCTACTCCAAGTGATGTCAAGAGCAAAGCTCCGTCCATGCCTCAGCCATTATTTACAAAAAGCATCACAAATCATTGCCAGTTTAAAGTTTAAATCTAGAACTGTGTGGTTAGGTAATTACCGTCAGTGTTTTTTATAGTATGAAACACTTTTAGGAATAGAGCTTGAACAAATTTCTAGAATAATTTCTTCCAGTGGTTTATTCACGATCCATCTAACCAGAGAGAAATGTTACATAACATTTCAATGCCCTCATGTGATTTGGGATTGGGGAGAAGGAGTAAATGGTTTATACTTGTCAATGTCTGATCCCATGTCTCCAGCATCTTTGTCCAGTTCTTTAAGCTTCCAGTTCCTGCGACGTATGCGCTTAACACGATCATAACTTTTTTTAATCAACACCTGAAGACATAAGAAAGTTACAAGACTTCTACAATTTACTAGTTATATCCTGGATTGGTCCAAACTAATCAAGGAATATACTTGATTTTGTCAAGTTTGGCACATCAATTTAGTTTTACTTACTATAATTTCTACAGTCTTACATTCTAGAAATCCAAGTTCTATTTTGTTGTGAGAAATAATTATTTTTTAGATGGAAACATCTTCATGTTCCATTACTGTACGAGTCTGTGCCATTTCAGAACACTTTTCCACTTAGTCCCAAAGCTCTTACGCAAACTGTTACTACAATCCCGCTCAGCTGGTGTCTTGGTCTCCACCCCTCTCTCGACCACACTAACCCATGTTGAACTTTCCCACCAGCTGGGGTCTCAGAATTTAATATAAACCGGATGGTTTATTTTGAGAAATGCTCAAATACTGTGAATAGGTCTCAATTTGGATAAAATGTAAACTAAAAAGTCTGCAATGTTGTATCTTTAGATTTATAAATTCATAGAGAAAATATTAACTAGTTCAAGCAAATCACAAAGTAAGACAAAAATAAGACAAAAAATGCTGAAAAAAGACAAAATAAAGCAAATAGATAGTATTTTCATTACAATAAGAAATAAGAGATTTCATACCACATCAGGAACATGGTGAGGGTTCATCTTGTTCACATATTCATCATTGAGATTTGAATTAGCCAGATCAAACCTAAAATGAAGTTAACAAATTACTTTCCACTGAATTAAGCCTACAGTATAATGTATGTCAAGCAGCCAGAAAGTACATTGCAGAAACAGAATAAAAAACTCTTTAAAGGTTAGCGTTTTTATTCAAAATGTACTGTACTTATTAAGAGAAACCACATTACAAATTTTACTAATTGACAGCAATTTGATTTTATGACAATACTGACCCTAGAACTAAATCACCATGATTGAGAAGGTGACCTAGATGAGTACGACAATGATACTGCTGGTTTGTGTTCATCTCTGAAGTTTTCTGTACCCAAACGTCAGCCAATGTGTGCTGGAATGAAATTTGATTTTTTTAAAAAACATCTTTCAGTATTGTCAGGAATGATAGGTTTGATCTATTTCTACAAAGAAAGTGTACATATTGAATGCAATCAAACATTAGAAATTTTGCCAAAACAAGAGATATTCACAAGAATACTGTTTTTCGGGGCGACAGAAGCATGTAATTTTCCAATTTTAAATTAAGGTTTACGACCTTGCAACACTTACAGGTCATTCGGCCCAGTTAGTCCAAAACAGTCTTTACACTCCAAATGAATCTCTAAAAGCATGAGAGATTTCATCAATTCCCCTCAACTTACTCTCAAATTGCAATAACTTTCGAAGCCAGAAAAATATTTGCTATTTTACATTTAATTGTAACAATAACATTTTTGATCTTTTCTTGAAGCTGAAGTAAGACAATTTAAAAACCTTCCGCCTTAGTACATTTACTGAACAGCAACATCACATTATGGTTGCAGTGAAACTATTTGGAATTAGCTTATTTAACTTAATAATCCTTGCATTTGATGTAGCGCCTTATCACGTCTTCGAGGCATCCCAAACCACTTCACAGGATGTACGGTAAAGTGAATTGACTGTATATTGTGGGGGTGAAATGCTCACAATCCTCAAAGATTAATGTTTTGATCATTAGTGTGCCTCTTTTGTGGCCTGTTAATGGTCAAACCAAAGCGAAAATAAATACCAGAATTCCCCAGCCAGAGTGAAGTTTGAACTTATCTTTGGGAATTATATGGCTTTGAATAAATAAATGACAAAAGTAGCAGCACAAAGCAAAACAATCCATGTCATCGTGAAACATTTTTTTTAACCAGTATCTAAATTAAATTCCCGATGTGCAGCATTTTATACTTACAAGCACGGACGCTGACTTTAACATGGAAAGGTTTCATTGGTCCAATTAACCTTTACAATGGTCTACTTTGTTACTATAATGTTGATTGTTCAAAACTTAAGCAACATTTAGAAGTACTGCAAACGTCTGCAAATGAGTAATCCAGTTCAGCTGCTGTGGCAAAATATTTCTGGGAAAAGCTGAACCACAGAGAGGACACACCAACAGAGCCAAGAGTGCTCATTGCAATGCGAGCACTATAGAACACGTACAGTTGTCGAGCAAAGACAACTAAATTGGAGGATTCTACATGGTTCTCCAGACATGGATAACTATCTGCACAAACGATTCTTGCTTCTGGAGACAGCATTAATTGCATTTGGAGATGATCAAGATTGATTTCTCAGCCATTTACACATTGGCTTGAACATATCTTTCCCACAGTAGGAACAATCCATACGCAGAAAAACATTTTAAGACTTTGAAACAACTGCAAATGGACAGTGATTTCTTTGTTGCTGCCAGACAGTCAAATTTTCCTCGCCCTCTGTAAGTGGAGTATTGTATAAATACAGCACCAGCTAAATTGTAGTTTTACTTGTTTACTTACCCTTTTGGATTTTGTGCCTGCACCAGGAATGTGTTTATAGTTTCTAATGATGTCAATCTCCATTATAATAAACTCGTCCAAATGCCCAGGATTGCACAGACTGTGAAAGGGGTATCGCCAATACGTTGAGCCGTCAACTTCTGCAACTATGAATAATTTAAAAACGTAAATTAGAATATTAAAAATAACTAATTTTAGTTACTAATTGATTGTAGTGCAAAGCACTAAATTTCCTTTGTATAAAAAAAGCAATTCTGGATATATGAGAAGCTCTGAATATACTATCTATAAAAGCTATCTGAACCCCAAATTACACTGCAGCTTTGTAAAAATAACAACGATGTTGTGTTAATTATACTGAGGCCAACAGTATACATATGCGCCCATTACAGAATTTCCAAGTCCTGCTTTCCTCAGCAGAGCTGAACAAAAGATAAGAGTGTCTTGAATGATTTCAAAGTACAACAGAATATATATGATTTAGTTGAAATTTCTGCATTTCCACATGTAGACACAAAATAACATTGAATAAATACCATTTCAGCATTGACAAAGGTGACAACATTGACAAACATATGGAAGGATATATCCAGAAATGGGAAGAGGGGGTGGGGGGGAATGTCAATGATTAATCAGACTTCGACAAGTGCACTTTTCAGATTTTTTTTTTGGGGGGAAAGGGGAAACAAGAAAGAGGATCATCGGTTCATGACCAAAAGAGCCTGAATTTTCCCTTTTCCCTAAAAAAGGATTTCCAACTATATAATGGGGAGTGCGAGGGTCCATAAAATTCCAACTCATGCTGTAAAGCTGCAATTTTCTCTCTCCACCCCCAACTCCATTCAAATTTATCCCAAATTCAAATCAGTTGGCTTCTTACACCATTGTTGTCTACCTGACACAATTAGCTGCCACATTTTCTTATACAACATTTATTTAATTAAAAAATGATTCATATTTTGTAAAGTGCTTCAAGTCATTTATTTTTATGATATAAATGCAAGGTATTTATTCTCTGCTGAGTACAAGTATCCAGTACAAATATGCAGCAGAAACTTACTCTGCAAGGTATTGGGATCAATAAGATGGATAGAGTTGGTAACGCGGACACATACACAAATCTGGCCCATATTTCCAAGGCTTTGTGCCAGTCGTGGTGGCAAGCATACCAAATTGTCCTGCAAGAGAATAAGAACATAGGAAATGCTAGACGAAAAAAGACCTAGGTCCATCTAATTTGCCTTCCACCATCCTGGTGGTCGCATGCACATATGTCCCAAACTACCTATGCACTCTATCCCATAATGTTATTTCCTAAAAGAAACCTATTTAATCTGTGTTTGAAAGAATCAACACTTCCTGTTTCAAATGGTCTCCCTAGGGAGCCTGATCCACAGGTTCACTATTCTCTCACTGAAATAGTGTTTGCGTAGATTCGTTCTGGATTTAACCCCCTTCAATCGCAGGCCATGTCCTCTGGTTTTACTATTCTGGACAAGTTGAAACAGCCTAAAAATAAATATTTTGAACCATTGATTACCTTACAATAGCTTTGCTGTAAAGGATTTTCAGTATATTGTTGTTCATGTATAAAACAACGGTATAAGTAGAATTGTTAATGAATTGTTTTTATTGAAAAACAATTGCTATTTATAGCATTGTGAGCTGTTATTTTTGCCGAACAGCAAATATACCTGCCATTCTCTCCATAAATTATTGTTAAACAGTAATGCAACAGTAATCTGTCTGGATTTCATCTCTACATGAATAATAATAATAATAAAGTAATGAAGTAGTTGAGCTGAGATTGCATGAGTAAGTCAGGTCATTTACCATCACTAGGGCACTGCAATTTCCCAGATTTCTTCACTTTTCTTACTAACACGATGAATGGATTCCAGTCATGCAATGTTTTCTTCTCAAATGCAAAAAACGGATTACTTTTCCAAGTGTTGTTTGTGGGATATTAAGGGGGCAAAAGCATTACGAATTGATTAACTCCTAGCTTACACTGACAAAACAATTTTATTTGGAGATCATATTTTCACAGTCTGCAATAAAAGACACAAACATGTTGGAAAATTATTATTTGGCTTTAGATACCCAATACCAAACTCACCTTACAGATAGGAACAATCTCCACAGAGAAGGTACTTTTGTAATTATAATTGTTGGTGTGAACGTCATGGGAGATCAAACGTTGAGATGCTTTGTACCTTCAAAAACATATCACTCATTATAAACTATTGTTTTTGGGACCCATTAAAAAAATACCGATGCATGTTCAAGAAAATGAATGCATTTTGAATTTGTACATGACACTAGTGAGAAACACAGGCACTGTTACCAAAGTGCCTTTGCAATCTTTCTGTCTTATTTTAGTGACAATTTAGTTGTGTCAGGAACTTATCTTACATTTTAAATGTTTTCCAGCACTTCAGAATTTGAAAGCAGTTTAAAAAGTCTACAATAACAAAAAAAAACTTTTGAATGTAATGTCCCCTGAATACAGCAAAGTATACAATCACAACGTTTTGTAAGATTTAGATAGTTTATTTTTCTAAAAATGTTTTTCTAAAAAGGCACAGATTGCCCCAGTGTCCTAGTAGTTAAAGCAATCACTCAGTAAAACAACAAACGATGCAGACCAGAAACTGCAAGCATAATTCCAGATTTGTTGAGTTAGTTGTACTGCAGTTGACCTCAAAGCTACTGGGAAACCAGCTGGCTTCCTGCATGCATGTGCAGTGACCTCACCAGCCATGTAATGGCAGACTGGCAATTGCACCCTTTAAGGCTGGTTGAAATTTTATGGACCATAACTACTGTGTTGTAACAGGGCTCCACTGTACTATTTCAGGCATACATAATAATCCTTGCATTTGATATAGAGCCTTATCACTTCAGGACATCTCACAGTGCTTCATAGAATATACAATAAAGTGAATTGACTGTATATTTTGTGAGCAAAATAAAACATACTTGCAAGGAACTGTACACTGCAGGAAATCTACCATCTTCATAGCATTTTGCTTGGAGCCATAGTAAAAGTCCAGTCCGTCTAAAATAAAAATGTAAATAGTCAACTCTGAACCAAAATTTCCAATTATGTAAAATCATTCAGACAAACTTACTTAATAGTACTTCTCAACATTAGGCACACTAAGTAACCTGCTCAAGTCTCCACCAATGACACTCCAAATAATATTTATTATTAAATAAGCTACTGGGGATATGCAAACAAATCCAGAAGTTATATACGACAAATTTCTGGTATGGTCACCTCTTAGCTTAACACTATTAACAAAAAGTTCAGACACACTAAAGTTGCTGCTTATATTACCAGGTAAACTAATACAATTCTCACTTACCATGAATTTCCTTGACACGAAGTGTGTTTTGATGCAGCTTGTGTTTAAGGATCAACTGTTCCAAGTAATAGAAGGTTTTCTTGTGTGAAGTCTAAGGGTTTACCAACAAAACAAAGTTTCAGGCAGTGTCAGCAATAACATGGTTAGACATTTTCCCCCCAAAGCTTTATGAAGAGCATTTGCATTACATTGCCAAACAAAGTTCAATGAGTCAATAAGTAAAAATCAAAAGTGGAAATTCTATTTACTATTTTCTGCAAATTAGTAGTAAATTTTCTTAGTTTAGTGGGGGCAGGGTTTCTATCCATCTCCCATTAACCCTGCGAGCAAAGCCCTAGCGATTAGGCTGGTCCTAGTTGGACAAGCAATGGAAAAGCTTGCCAGACAGTACTTTTAATGGTAAACTATCAGGGTTGTGTACCATATCTTTAAAGAGTTTAACATCACTAAAATCAAATGATTAATAGGCATATCAATCAGTGATTATCTGCTTACCTTCTGTCGGATCTGGACAACTGATTTCCAGTAATCCTTAGCTTCAACACGATGGCAATCATCACACATTTGGTGCAGAATGACAAAATCCACAACAAAAATTTGCTGCAAGATTGCTCCATTCATTACCTAAACACAAAAAAAAAGCCTACTGAGATTTAAATTCTCGTTTCAATGCAAGTTTGTCAATGTTTCCATTTACAACTATAGAAGATTTTTAAAACACTACAGTGTTGCTTTACCAAACAATTTTCATTTAAAAAGGAGAATATCACACGGGTAAATGAACTTTTCAATGTAAAAGGCCCCCTTCTCAGAAAAGTGGTGTATGTCTGATCTTAAGGAGGTATCATTTGTGCAAATCTCCAAATAGTCTTGAAACCCAACTGGTACTAAGTTTTGGATTTATAATTGACAACCCAAATACATGGGCTGGAGAAATGCCCGCCCATCTTCTCTCAATGGCATGCAATCTAAGACTGCAATACTGGTACATCGCACAAGGGGTCTAAAACCTTGCTAATATGCATTCACAAATAATTTTTAAATATCGAATCATGCCAGCGTCAAGGAATAATCACACCACTGAAACTCTGCTCCAACTGGAAACAGACTGCGTCAAAAAGAGGTTTCTTGTGGGCACATCCAATTTCACTCAGGATTCTACATCTTAATCCAGTTTACAGATACAAAATGTTTTGTCCCGTCTCCTAAACTATTGTAGCCAGAAAAGCAGATATCTAGTTCACTATTAGGAGGATTTGTGACAACCACATATGAAATATATTTTCTCACAAAACAAATGAAAAGTAATTCCTAATAGACACATTTTCCTCCAGAATAAAATTCTTTAAATAACTCCAATGATCATTTTTTTAAAAAAATTAAATACGGTATGTTGTTGCATACCAGTTAATTCTCACCTCTTTCTGAACAGTAAGTTTGACCTTTAATCTCTTTGAATGTGGTTCAGTCCAAATAAAACCAGCATCAATCAGCCGTACCTAAATGAAATAGCAATTAAAATAACATCTGTGAGCAAAAAGTATGATGTATTTTCAACCCAGATGTTCTGGGGAAAAGACATTTTCAATGATTAACAGCATAATATCTTGTCCTTCCGATGAGACTTTAAACCGAGGTCCCAAAACATCTTAGTGCTTTACAGATTACATAAGCTTCTACAATATTACTAAAGCAGGTTTATAACAATAAACTGGTATATAAGGCACTAATTTTCAATGTGCACAAGCATGTTTTTAATAAATTCAAGTGTTCAGAGACCCATTAAATTCCAAGTTTAGCACAAAAGACTACAATAGTCTCTAAAATCTCCCACTATTTTAAATTTATATTTGATTACGTTTAGCTACAATAGAAACATAATCAGTATCAGCATGTTCATTCTCCTTTCATTCATTCCAATTTCATTGAGCACATTACCAGCATGTTCAAACAAGCAGAGGCAAAGGGGTGGAGATAGTCATAGTCACTCACCAATTCCTAAACCATATTTCACAGTAAATGGCCAGGAATACAATGGGGAATGGGGAATATTTTAATGCAACTTCAACACTGCTATAATCTTCATTGAAGTCACTTTTATCTCAATATATTAAACACCCACAATGCATCGATTTTAGATGACTTCCAAAATCTTCTTTACAGAAGATGAATTCAGTGGTAGTCATTGAGATTTCACATTACATTTTCTCCTGATCCCCAAATTTACAAACCTTAGTCAAGGACGACTTCAGTTTTTTAAGACACAAAGTTAAGAGTTCTCGAGACTCCAATGCACATTGCATCCAAGTTCCTGGCGGCTGAAGGTACCTGTGGAACAAGAATACAACATTAGAGTTCATTCATCCAGTCACATCTATCATTAGCTCAAATATGACCCTTAGCAAGAACAGTTGGTCATTTGACACCCTGTACAAATAAAATCTTCAGGAGATCTTTGTACAGTGACGTTTAAAAACTAGCAATTTGTTAATAAATCTTTGAAAAGCTGAGTAGAGATTCCAGAGCCTTAAACATTTGATGGAAGCTGCTGTTAAACCAGGATTCAAATTATATATCAATATAATGATTCTGGGGAATAAATACATTCTAAACACAGTATATATCTGTACAACATGAGGTATAGAACATTAAGTGCGGTAACAAAGAATAAGAATCATGCGACATTCAACCAACAAAGAGCAAGAATTTATTTTATTTCAATAACTACCTTTCACATTGCCTGCAAAAGTGAACATTTACTTGTTTCTGGATTCCTTCTGTGATGTCAACCTGAGTCCTCAAGCAGGCAACACACATGTTTGCGGGATTCGGCGAGATGGGAGTGCCGCACTGACAGCATAAACTGAGGATTAAAAATTAAAACATTGCATTCAATGAGAGTTCTCTATCTATACGCAGAATTAAACAAAATAGTTATAATTTGCAGGTAGAATTACCAGATTTCATTTCTAAGATTGTTTAAGTTGAAAACTATGGCAATAGTTAAATGTGATGCAAAACCGTAGTGAAGCTCAGCTCCATTTAAAGAGTTACAATAAATGTTCAAAAGGTATAGGTTTTGCCTAGTTACATACTGGACAGTATTGCCTGCCATGCACTTCAAGACAACCAGATGCTCCATCCATTAATAATAATACTTGCATTTGATAGAGCACCTTAACACATCGTCGAGACTCTCAAAGCGGTTCACAAGTTATACTATAAAGTGCAATTAATGCATTTTGCAGGTGAATGTGGTACCCAATTCACACACAGCAGTGTCCCACAAACAGCTATAGAGATTGAGTGACTACTTTTATTTGGGGGATTGTTGGCCAGAACAACGGGAGAAACTCCCTTCTCTTTTCGAATAGTGCCACGGGAACTTTTAACATCCACCCGACCTGCCAGGCGGAACCTCGGTTTAACGTCTTACCCGAAGGACGGCACCTCCGAAATTCCAACACCCCCCTCAGCATTGCATTGGAGCGTCAGCTTAGACCACAAGACCACATAGCTTAGACGATATGATTCCAAGTCCTGATGTAGAGCTTGAAACCACAACCGTCTAACTCACCGAGTGGAGAGTGTAACCCCCTGCGCTCGGTTAGGTTGGCTGACACAAGGGGATGCGATGACGTGATTATAGGATCATTGAAGGAATGAGGCAGCGACTCACATGTGTCCCTGGCTGCTGGCGACGGCTTCCTTCATGTACTCCATCCTCTCCGGGGGCTCCGACTGACACCTTCTGCAACGGAGGTAAATTCAGCACCAATCTGCGGAAGACGCCACTTCCGTGAGCGAGTGGTGAACGCACGGAACAGGCGGGCGAGGGAGACGGGAGGGCGGAAGCAGGGAACGTTGCTTGCTTCGAGCACAAACGAGATAAGATCTCAGCGAGGAAATAAGATCTAGGAAATAATACGGTGCGGTGTGTAAGTTTGGGGCAGGACACGTTGGCGGGAGGCGAAGCGGACGGGACGGCTTTGGACCCTAGAGTGCGCGTTGGGGTAAACCGCTGGCGTCTGAGCAGCTCAAACCGCACGGCGCTGGATCACTGAAAGCGCTGTCCGAGCTTTCCGACGGGTTTTCCAGCTGGGAACACCCCACCACGTCGCTTCAACGTCACACTGCATTGCACCCGAGCGACGACGCCCGCGTAAGAAAATGGACGCCAACTGCGCGCCGCCAAGGTACGGGTTAAGGGAAGGCGACCGGGGGGATTCATAATCCTGGTCTAGTCATCCCCAATGGGGTACAATTTACAGTCTGGGCTTCCCGTCGCCCGGTCAATTCTTGTGTTCTGTCGCAGAGGCCCCGGTCAGACAGTCAGACAGCGAGACTGACAGACAGTCAATCAGTAGTCAGACAGACAGTCAGTCAGACAGTCAGTCAGTCAGTCAGACAGTCAATCAGACAGACAGTCAGTCAGACAGTCAGTCAGTCAGACAGTCAGTCAGACAGACAGTCAATCAGACAGACAGTCAATCAGACAGACAGTCAGTCAGACAGTCAGTCAGACAGACAGTCAATCAGACAGACAGTCAGTCAGACAGTCAGACAGTCAATCAGACAGACAGTCAGTCAGACAGTCAGTCAGTCAGACAGACAGTCAGTCAGTCAGACAGACAGTCAATCAGACAGACAGTCAGTCAGACAGTCAGTCAGACAGACACTCAGTGGCTCAGTCGTCCGAACGTCTCGCAATTTCAAACTTGAGCGACCGTGACCCCCCGCGCGCTGTCCCGTCACACTCAACGGCCAGAACACGTCGCCAGAGGCCCGACCCCGGACACTGCCCCCGGACACTGCCCCCGGCCCTGACACTGGCCCCGGACACTGCCCCCAGACACTGCCCCCGGCCCTGACACTGGCCCCGGACACTGCCCCCGGCCCTGACACTGGCCCCGGACACTGCCCCCGGACACTGCCCCTGGCCCCGGCCCCAGACACTGGCCCCGGACTCTGGCCCCGGCCCAGGCTCTGGCCCCGGCGCTCCCGGGCCCTGGATTTTGAAAGCGCTCTTCCTTGAAGTTGGTGCTTGTTGTGAGAGTGCTTTACCCCCCGTCCCCGCCCCCGAACAGAAGAAGAATCCCGAGCGATAGCGCTCTCTCTCTTTTTTTACCCGTTCGCTTTGGCGCTGCTGTCCGCGCGCGGCGGATTCCGGACAACGTGCAGCTCGCGCCGCGAGGACCCGCCGAAGCTCCGCCTCCCGCCCTCTCCCCCTCTCCTCTCCCGCGTTCGTAGCCCAAACGTCCACCGAAAGTCGCCCCCAAAATAGCCCGATATTGAAGCTCGCTGCGCGCCGGACCCATTTTAGCTCGAGTCCTGTTTTGTTTTTTTTCGCGATCCTCGTAAGAAAAGGGAGTGAGAGAGAGAGAGTGAGAGAGAAAAAAAAACGGTTTTAAATTTTTTTTATATATAAGTATAACTATCCGAGGCACGAAAAGACCCGAAAGCGCCCGATTGGGCGTGAAACCGCCCCATCTGACAACATGGCGGTGGGTGGGGGGGGGTTAGCTGTCCGCGCCGCGCCTGCTTGATGCCACAGTGGGACCACTTAACATGGCGTTACCCCCACCCCACCCCTCCCTGGAGCCCAGTGGCCCTGTCACCTCCCTCCTCCTTCCCCCACCCAAAAAAAAAATGTCTGAGGAAGGGAATGAATCATGTGAGTATGTGAGTTGAGATGGTCTCCTGGCCTGGGGGCGGGGGAGGGGGGTGGGGTGGAGAAGGAGGAGGAGGGGGTGGGGTGGTGTGGGGTTATAATGGTAATAATAAAAAGTTGGTGGCATCTTGTTTCAGGAGCTCCTGGTTCTGGTTGAGAAGATGCTACGGGGGCTTTCGCAAAAATCGCACGAGGTGTGCGGTCGATCAGTCGGCTTCACGCGACACTCCCCGCGAAGCGCTTTTGAGACGTCTCGGGAGGACGGGCGAAGGCGCTCCTGTCAAACGCGAGGATTGTTGTGATTTATCATGAGATTGGCGCGGCCGAAGACGGTCCTTTCGACCACATCCCATCTCATCCCTCCAGAACACCCCACCCCACCCTACCCTACCCTAGTCTAGTGTTGGTACAACTGGAAAGCTTAGATCGGATGTGTTGGAAGTGCCTTCTTCGATCCGTGGACTCTTGTGATCTTGTGAAATTAGATGTTGCGTAAATTGTATCAGAGATCCCAAAGAGAGATCCCAGTGGATAAGTTCCTTCAGCTCATTTGATCGCATCTTCCCGGAACATCAATCCTCGCATCTATCATCCTATTACAGCGCCAAATTGTTGCTTAAATGAGTTCAGTGTGCTGGTCTCACTCGACTTCCTGGTAAATAAATAGTTCCTGCTTTACGTAAAACATATGTTCCACTGTTTTTTTATTTATCTTGGGATGTAGGGGATGCTGTCATGGCAACATTTATTGCTAGTCCCAGATTGCCCAGAGAAGATAGCGGTGGGCCTTCTCTGTAATCTTGTGGGGAAAGTGCTTCCACGATGGAATGGGATAGAGTTCCAGGATTTTGATCCCGTGACGAAACAATGGTGATATGTCCAAGTCAGAATGGTGAGCGAATTGAAGGTGGTCTTCTGGAAGGTGGAATCACATGCCTGGAGGTGCTATTGAAGCAAGGTTGGTGCGTGCATTTTGTAGATAAACCACACTGCAAGCCACAGTGGCATTGATGAGAGAGGGACTGAATCTTGACTTGAGTGATTGGGGCGCACATCAAACTAACTGCATTCCCCTGAATGGTGTCAAGCCTCTCAAGTGTTGTTTCAGTTGCACCCAACCAAGTTGTTCCATCTTGTCTTATTTTTTTTTGATGGTGGAGAGGCTTTGAGCAATTTGGTGGAGAGTCACTCTTCACAGAATACTTAGCCTCTGCTCTGCTCTTGAAGCCATGATGTTGATGTAAAAAAACAAGATACGGTATGTGTCAACCATTCTGTTCTCAGGCTTCTCCCCATTCGAGTGAAATCGCCAAGAATTGGTAAGAATTGTTTTCTTCAGGTGCATTGCTTCCCATATGCTCGGTGTCTCAGGAGTTCCCAGGAGCAAATCCCTGAATCCCACTACTTTATGACACATTGTGCAATTTGTAGGGGTATTCTAGGGGTAGGTACATATCAAATCGTAATCAAATCAAATGTATATCATCTCTTATACATCAAATGATTTCCAATGGCTCTTCGTACTATTAGAAAAACAAAGGAGTTTAAAAAAAAGTACGTTGCGCAAAACGTATCCATCCGATCAGTTCACGTTACTTAACGACCTCAACCGTCTTCAGGCGTGACTCGATGATCCGAAAAACACTTTTGGACGATGGCGTTTTTTTTTTAAGATGTGCATCGGGCCTTTGAATCAGCCTTCTGTTTAAAATACAGTCACGCCACTTCCCAAAACGGCACACGGCACGGGATGTGGAGTCTTGATGAGCAGTCGTTAATTATGAATCAACACTTGTCCGGGTAACGCCCTTTGCCACAGCACAAATGGCCGCGTATGGTCACCGCGTGGTGTAGGTATATATAATAGTCCATATATATATATACAATCCTTGCATTTGCAAGGCAGGTCAGGGTGAAACCTTGGGCAAGTTTCCTTACTCCACACAGAGCCTAATAATAATCCCTCCAAAACCCAAAACAATAATAAATTGGTCATTTTCAATCTACGACTGTTTGTGGGACATTGCTGTGCGCAATTGGCTGCCGCGTTCGCCCACAAATATACAGTCAATTCACTTGACAGTGTGTTCTGTGAAGCGCTTCGGGACGTCCTCCCGACGTGAAAAGCGCTATATCAAATGAAAGGATTATTATTATTATTAGTATTATTATTATACAGCAGTTATTGCCGAGTGACTGTGTAAAATCCAATCATTGGCAACTGTGCAAAACTCTCCCGGTCCTCCCCCCCCCCTCTCCCTCTGTGCCTCTGAAGAAGAAGAAGTATGAACTAAAAACGTTTCTAAACCCCCCCCCACCCTCCCCCCCCCCAAAAAAAAAATGGATGAGTTAATTTTGGATCCCATTATTTCTGTAAAGGAAAAAAATATATATATATACACACAGACAGACACACACACACACAGTGCAGCAGTGCTGCTGCTGCTGCCACCGTGTGGCCGCTCTCTCCCTTTTGCGGGGGGAGGGGGCGGGGCCTGGAAAGCGGAACGAACCAAGTGTCCAGAAGGTGTGTGAGGGGGGGGGGGGGGGAGCCAAACCCCCTCTCAGAGGTCGGGATGACGGGAGGGCTCCTCCCCCTCCCCCCCCCCCCCCGGAGTGGGGAGAGATGGTCTGGTCCCGCGCGGCGAGAGGGGGAGGGGGGGAATGCGGCAGATCGTGTGGTCGGCGGCGGCAGCAGCAGCAGTGCCAGCGCCAGCCCCGGGGGGGGGGAGAGAGAGAGGGAGGGAGAGAGGGGGATAGAGAAGGAGAGAGAGGAGAGAGAGAGAGAGAGGGGGGAGAGAGAGGGAGAGGGAGAGGGGAGAGAGAAGGAGGAGAGAGAGAGAAGGGGGGAGAGGGAGAGAGAGAGAGGGAGAAGGGGGGAGAGGAGAGAGAGAGAGAAGGGGGAGAGAGAGGGAGAGGAGAGAGAGAAGGAGAGAGAGAGGGGAGAGAGAGAAGGGAGAGGGGGAGAGAGAGAAGGAGGAGAGAGAGAGAGGAGAGAGAGAGGGGGAGAGAGAGGGAGAGGGGAGAGAGAGAGAGGACAGATACCAGCGCGAGACCCTCATCTCAGCTCCACCCCCCCCAACGCCCCCTCTTTTGTGTGGGTTGGGTTGGGGGAGAGGAGGAGAGGAGGAGGAGGGGGTTTATGTGTCAAAAAGATACAGCTGCCAACTTCTAGCAGAGCTGCAAACACACACACACACACACACACACCAGCCCTGTCCTGTGTGTGGGGGTGGGGGTGTGTGTGGGGGTGTGTGTGTGTGGGGGTCTATGCGCAGATTCCCCAGACAGTCAGTCAGTCAGTCTGTGTGGGGGGTTGGGGTGGGGGGGCAGGAGGATGGTGCACTGATGCTCTCGCTCGGTCCCATTTTCCCCCCAGGCTGGTAGAATAAATGATAGAAGACACCATGACTCTGTTGTCTCTCTTAGGCCGCATCATGCGCTATTTTCTCCTGAGGCCGGAAACTTTGTTCCTCCTGTGCATCAGCCTGGCCCTCTGGAGCTACTTCTTCCACACGGACGAGGTGAAGACCATCGTCAAGTCCAGCCAGAACGCGGTCAAGATGATGAAGGGGAAGGTGGTGGAGATCATCCAGAACGACCGGTTCGGGGGGCTGGACGTGCTGGAGGCAGAGTTCTCCAAGACCTGGGAGTACAAGACCAACAACGTCGCGGTGTATTCCATCCAGGGCAGGCGAGACCATATGGAGGATCGGTTCGAAGCGCTCACCGATCTGGTCAACAAGACTCACCCTTCCATATTCGGGATCTTTGACGGACACGGGGGAGAGGTGAGCCCTCTTCGTTTATGTGTGTGTGTGTGTGTATGTATTATACACATATTTAAAAGAACCGCAAAACCCTGAACCATTTTAAGATTGACCGGGTCCGGTATACATGTCAAAGTCTCTCGCGTGGTCAATCGTAATAATCCTTGCATTTGATACAGCGCCCGACCGCGACTTCCAGACGACTCGGAGGGCTTCACGGGCCATACCGTAAAAGTGAACTGACTGTGTGCTTTTGTGGGCGAAACGAGGCAGTCAATTGCGCACAGCAGCGCCGCCACAGACGGCCCCGGATTGTTAACTCGGAAAGATCCAAAGCAAGATTGCAAACTTTAAACTCCGGATCCTATATATTCGGCGCAGTTAGAACCAGTTGGACCTTAAATCGGATGGTTGGTGACTGAAGCGTATTGTGACTAGCATGTTCCCTTACAAAATGACCTTTTTTTCTTAATGTCCTAATAGTTAAAGTCACCCAGGCAGTTAATCTTAAATGATTCTAAGTAATATACGGCAGCTGGAGCATGACCAGAACGTGATGAGTTTAATAACCTGTGATTTTCAGGTGGAGACCTGTGTTGAAACTTAACTATCGTGGATTTAACGTTGCCGTGTGCACGATTAATGTGTAAATATTAATGTCATTTCATTTCTTTGCACTGTGAGTTACAGTTACGCTAACCCGTTTGTTTGAATATTAAATGAGTTGATCCTTTTGCATTTTAAAAAAAAATACACTTTTTTTTTTCGATACGCGCTCCGGTGAGGTTGTTCGTCTGCGAAAATCCATACGCTTGAGCTCAAGCGTGCTCCAGCCATTACGGGCTCTTGCTGGGGCCGGCGGGAATTGGTTTCCTCACGAACCGTTTGGTAGCCTTTTACCAGAGCAGAAGTCGTTTCAGATGAATATCCTAAGATCTATCCGAGATTCGCAGAGTACGGCCCTGCAGTTTCTTAACCGAAAGCCAAATGTATTCCTAAGGACAGAATCGAAATCCAGCGTGTGCTGGTAAATTGGAGCAGCAGGGGCGAGGATTTCTGCTGTAAATAATTCAATGTGCCTGTGAATGTTTGTGCCGCATGATGCTTTATGCTTTGTCCTTGTAAATCTGCATTTCACTATTTGTCACATAAGGTCAAACTGACCCTTTTCATGGTAGTAGCTTCTTCCTCTGAGCAAACAGTGGTAGTAACCCACGATAATGCTGTTGGCAAAAGAATCATTTTGTTGCTATGGTTTTGGAGGTAATATCCGCGGTCTGTACCGCAACACTTTTTCACACAGTGTCAAGTGAGAATGCCCGCTCATAAAAACAACCAACCAGATATCGGTGCTGAAGGCTTTCTATTTGCACCTTATTCTCAACGGCATGTTAGTTCCCGAATTTTGGCCTTTTTCTAAACCATTGTGTGATAACGCTAACATCCAATTGCAACCTCATGCAGACATTTTAATGGAATTTCTCGTCCTGACCATTTAAGATTCTAACCCTAAATTGGCTGAGATTCTCATACTTTTCCCCCACAGTGGTAACAAGGCTTCCCCTTTATTTATGTGTGTCATCTCTTTTAGTCTCCGGGATTGCGGGGTTTTTTTTTTAACAGGAAAAAGATCTCATGCACGCCGGTCTGAAAGCGGATAGGTTCACATCTCCCTGGAACTTACGTCTTGAGCTACAAGATTGAAATATGAAATAGCACAGCTTTCTAACCTAACCTCCACGAGCATATTGGAGGGCAGTGGTCAAAATGACTTTACTGCTGTTTGGGAGTGTATAAGTGGCTAACCCTTTTAGAGCAGCTTTGCAGTGAGCTCTGCACTGCTCGCCATCATGAATGACACAGAGAGCTTGTGATGACGATAGCATGGGTAGTGGTCTCACCGATCATAGATGGGGCGAGAGGGGGACTTAAACATAGACAAACCAATGATGTTCATTGATAAAAGGGGTGGTTAGACAAGTGGGGGGGGGAACTATGTAGATTTCAATGCCAGATCTCGTCATCTCCGACCTTGCATTTCATGGTTCTGTGAGCAGCTGTTCTCTATAGCTAGACTCGTACGTGTTTGAACTACCAAATGACATCTACACTATCAGTGTTTTAACTGTTTTAACAGTGAACGTTAATTTAACACATTTTATTCTCAAAGACAGTAAACTCTCCCTAAGGGCACAAGTGAGGTCTGACAACTCAACACCAAATGGATTGTGTTGGTAACTCTAATCTGTACATATACACTCTGCTTATTTCACTTCACAATAAAGTGGCATCTCATATGTTTCCAACACACATCGATCACTTGGTGTGTGACAATGAGCAGGTCACAGCTGAAATGTGAAGGTGATATCTCCGTGAAAAGAATATATCCCCTACTTGTCACCAAGATGCAAACTCTGTGAGGCAATGCTCATAATAGAGTAGAGATGGTGATAAGATTGATGATTTAATGTCCGTATATAATTTTGCATTTGCTGTTTTGTGATTAGAAGAGGCAGTTCTGTTTTTCAGAAAATAATATCGTATGACTCTTGTGTTGTCCATGATTGGATATCAGTTCTTCTTCACTTACGCATGAACTTCTGGAATTGCTAAATCTAGCAATGAATATTGGGCAAGTCGCATCTTAATTCTCATTTTTCCGAAAAAGTGGTATAATGACTTTTTATTTTGCAATTTCTATAGACAAAGTCTACAGTGACATTTTTGACTTTTACACACATCTGGAGAGTAACTGGAAGGTCAAACACAACATTCATTTTTACTCATCAATATGATAGATAATGGGACAAAATGTGAATGATAGTGTCGAGCATCTCAATTGAACAGAGATGCAGCATAGATCAAGCTTGTACTGCCCTATCAGTTTGTCTCAAATCAACCCCTGAGCAGCATCTCATGCTACATAACTGTCTATACGGTCTCTGTACTTGATTTGGTTAGTATCATTTTATCTGTAAGATCGCTTTTCAATTAGTGCTATTTAATGTGCAGTTGCATGTTTTGGAAGTGAACACGGTAAATCCATCTATTGTTCAAGCTCTTTCTTTTGTAAATTACATTAAAAAAACAGTCATTTTCTGTACCGCTGAATAGACGTGGAGACGGGACATATTTATCAAATGGAAAAGAAAATTCTGGTAACTATTGTCTTAAAAAAAAGATTTGTGCCACGGTAACGGTGAACGAAATGCAAATTTGAGAAAGCTGCTGCACAAAAAACACAAGGAGTGCTGCTCAAATTGTTCAAACCTGAGCAGTGAACCCAAATTACACTGACCCGAATTTGATTTTGAGGCAAGAAACCTCCAATTATAGTCTTTCAGCAAAAATGACAGCAGAAAGACTGACTCTCAACATTCACTGTCTTTATGTAAAGAACAATGTAGAACATCAGCTATTATTTTGAAAACTAACACTGTCCACAATTTTAAATCCCAGCTTGTTCCTTCATCACTTTTAGCCACTTTTTTAAAAAAAGTATCTCCTTGCAATGAACAGAGAATACACTTGCATATATGAAGTTTTCTTTTAGTCTTCTTAATATCTATATTCTATTCTTTGTGCGATATTGTCAGTTATTGTCAAACGCTTTGAGGGGGTCCTCCTAGTGCTCTATGAATTGCACAGTATAATTTAAAGTAAACCCAAGGTTTAGAAACCTTAGATTATGCCGTATAACAGGGCCTTGGGACGTCCTCCCGACGTGAAAAGCGCTATACAAATGTAATCTTGTGGTTGTGTTATAACAAGATAAGGTGGGTCTGTTTGTTTTTGACTCTGATGTATGTACAGTATATTGAATGACATAAGCTGTCTGATCCAAGGAGACATATTTCTGATCATTATGTTGCTCCATTTTGTACCAGAACGTTAGGATTGGAATCATGGAGAGAGCAGGAAAATGATGACCAAGATTCCATCACCATTCACACCTCAGTTTGTTTAGAGAGAAGGAATCTTTACAAACAAGATCTTAAGTTAATGTCATCAAAAAGTCTACTGTACTAGGGTAGTAGTTTGCCATTTTAACGTTGCAAATGTTGCTGTTGAAGTATTATGTCCTGTGGGCAGGTACTGGAGAACTTTTAAAACAAGCAGTGATAGACTTCCGCTTATCAAAGGGCTAAAGGTTGCAGCTGAAACTCCTTCTGCTCATGTTAGTAAACGGTACAGTTAAGTGAGCATGAGAACGCCGCACTCGACTAACTATCTACTTTGGCAACATCACTCCTGGGAGGCTTTGGTGAACTTGTGTAAAATGCAAATGTCATTGCACGCAGCGGAGGCGCTTGTGTGAAGTTCAGGCGCGGCTACACTGAGGACCATACTGGGGGGCCTAATAGAGCAGTGGGGGGTGGGTACTGTTACTGATTTAATGTATCAGCACTGATCACAGGAAACGTACAGAAAAATAAGAAAATGTTCTAGCATTTTGATTAGTACCCAGTTGAGTGCCAAGAAGCGTGGAGTCCTGCAGCTCAGTGGTTTGAGCACTCGCCTCGCAAGCAAGAGACCTGTGTTTGATTCCCTGCAGGACGAAACCTTGGCCAATTTTCCTTACTCCACCCGCCTGATAATAATCCCTCAGGAAAAAGACGATAATAAAGTCGGTCACTTCAATCCACGACTGTTTTGGGCCTATTTGTGCGCAATTGGCTGCCGGCTTTTGCCCACAAATATACAGTCAATTCACTTTACAGTATATTCTGCGAAGCGTTTTGAGACGTCTAGAAGATGTGAAAAGCGCTATATCAAATGCAAGGATTATTAAGAAAGATATGTGGGGTATTTCCTATTGTTCAGAGAAAATGATCCACACGAAACGTGGACTGAACATGTAACACATTTTTCACTTGAACAAATATTTTTTTTCCCCCCGGGGTAGAGAAAGCATCTCAACTGATCCCGATTCTCTCCTTAGGCAGACGCACCCGCAAGCAACCCAGAAACGTGACCCTCTTACAATAATGTTTCATTCCAGTCGTAGTGAAAACTAAGGT